AAAAATTTTCTAAAAATTTTATTTGGCTTCGTAATGAAAGCATTTCAGTTCTTGTCGCATCTGGTTAGTAATCATTTCCCGCCAGAAAAATTCCACTCGAGCGCTGCGCTAAACTCGATACCTGATATACCTGCGGGGTGTCTTCACCGCTAAATAAAATCCTAACAGACCTATATGGTTATAAGTGCGGAGTTCGAGCGCGTTCTAAATAAACTTTCTTTTGTTTCGATACGCTGTTCATGGTCATAATGCTTTGCACATGTTTACATGGGAGAAGCGAAATTAGATGACGGACACCGGAGAACCTACAGGATGATTTGTTTTCAGTAGCAAGAGATTCAGGTCAAATCTTCGCGTCGGGCCTCGCTACAATTACCCTTTGTAGTCCATCCTCTCGCTTTCAACACTCACTGCTACTTATCGCCGAACGTCGTCTTGCGACATGAGCTAATGACGACTCTTTAACTAAGAGGAACAAGATTTTCCTGAGTCGAGACCCAGCTACGTTCGTGCGCGAATTTCCTTAATCTTAGCCAAAATATATTCATGTCACACATTGATTGAACTCGTCACGAAGTGACAAAGAGTAAATCTACTTTCTTAGCATAACTACGTGCCCAGTACCCACAGTCAATCAATGACCACTTAAACTTTGTTAAGCCTTGAAAAGAGAAAACAAACAGCTCCTGGCTGAAGCGATCGAGCAGAGAATTTTTCGAGAAAAACGTGTTCTCGCTACCGCCGCAGTTAACGCGATGAAATGCCGTAAATTGCCCAAATTTGTAACAGAGTATGACTAATGACAATACTTACGGCCACGAATTGTGCCAGTCTGCCACAATACCAGCGAAATGACCAGGAGAACCTTCATAACCCGATGGAAGAAAAGAGGATTTCCAGCGCAGCTCCTTGTCATGAAAAGGAGGATCAGATCAGTGCCCGTGTTCCTCGGACCAGAACCCCGCGGATCGCTGCGATGTGTTACAAACAACCTCTTACATTGAAATCCGATATACACAAGAGATTCTCACCCCTTTGTCTAGATTTTTGGACTGGTTAAATACTTAAGGTTTAAATACTTGGAAGTTCCTATAATTCTTTAATTAACTTATCATTTGCGCATGATTCTATCGTCAGTACTGCTTTAAACAATGAAGCTATTGTTTTTAATCCAAACAGATTGCTAGATCTCTATTTATATTTCTCGGATAGACTAACCCACACTAACGCAAATAACGTTTGGTACAAAATTATTTGCACGAACGAATTACAGCAAGAGCCAGAAACAGCAGGAGCCAGACACCATTCGTCGATATAATAAACAAGCTTGCTTTGTTGTCCAATTTTGATTTTGTTTCCGGTGAGGATGACCAAGTCTTCTTTGCGGCCAAAAGTGTACGGGTATAAAGTCTCAATGACCTCCGTGTGATCTCGAAGAAGTGACAGTTATGAAACTGTCCGTCTTTCGGCCTGACGTGACGAAAAGGGAGATGGGAGATGAGGTAGACCAGAGCAATAATTTGGGTAGCTTTATTTTTCCCGCAAGCACAAAGTCGAGATTAAAAAAACCTGAGTCACTTCACCCGACCCTGGCATGTAATTCTTGCATGCAAAATGTTGCCGAGGTGTTTT